GAAATGAAAATGTCACACTTCTCGCCACTTCTCGCGGATTCTACTGACTGCCCCGAAAGTAACTACGGGAATTCTCGAGAACACGCGAGAATTCGACGGAAGACACGCCACTTCTATTATGGATCATGTCTAGTTTGCATGTTACACAATTAACATAAAATTAATTTTACTATGTACAATTTGGTTACAAAAATTCGCTTCCATTTCGTTCCACAGCAATGTAAATTGAGCCTTAAATGTAGAAAAATTAGAAAGCAAGTTACTGGGTTAATATGATTATTTACCTAAAAACTAAACGTAATGAGACAAAAAAACTTCGTCTTGTTGACTTCAGCCCGCCAAGTCAATTTTGGGATTTGTGAAAATGAAGAAATGAATGAAGGTTTTCCATAGTTATGGAACATAGTTTTATCTAGTCTTCAAAACATTTACCGGGTATTTTCAATTTCTAAATAAATCTTTAAACTAGACACTAGGAATTAGTACAGCAAAATCATTATCCTCACCTTTGTTCGGCATTACGAAATATATTTGTAGCGGTAAATCTAATTTAGATTAATTAATGCATGATCCAGCCCACGGCTGATTAAAAAATTCTTATTTTTTAATGTTTATTTTCAATGTTTGTTTATAATTAGGTACTCAAGACAATACACCAAAACTGTCACTGTCAGATGTTAGCTGTCAGACTAGACAGATGACAACGAATGACAATGGAGAATTTATTTGACAACTGTGACGCTTTTGGGAGTCAGCTCGGATTTTCGCTTTGACTCTTACTATGGAGTGTAGAGTAGAAGGAGAACCATCTTATAAGGTGCGAAAGTTGAAAAAGTGTCCCAATATATACTGAAAATAGAGGTTCCAAAACCTACCACAATAGTAAAATGCCATTATACAAAACCTCAACTATTTACGTAGTACAAAACCAAGCGGATTGGTCGGTCCTTGTTTATTTCTCCATCTTATTCTAATAAATTTTGGCGCTATTTTTTAAAATTTATCCTATGCTACTGCAGCGCCACCCTTATTGGATGCGTTTTTAGGGACACTTTTCATATACAGAGATGGTCCTCCTTCTACTCTACACTCCATAACTCTTACATAGTTTTTGTTGGGATCTTAAGAGCCGGCGGATTGCTGCGAAAACGGTTTAGAGTTAATTCTGATGGGCAAAGTAGTGCGGTTTTATGTATTAAATTTCCGTATATAATACACAAAATTATCAATAGAAACGATGAAACAAATGCTCCGATGGCGATGTGAACCTCAACTTAATGGGTTTGCATATGCGGCTACATTGTAGTCTGCGTCCCACCGTGGTCTGAGTCCCATCGACAACAATAGACTGCAAAGCTTTCTGGTAACTCTTGTAACCTTTTGACAAAGCCTAAGTCGCAATGGTAAGTCTGGCACACCACCTTGTGTCGGACACTTTTTTCAGCACTGAACCGTTTTCGGGATGTTTCTGAATAAGGGAGAAGTTTCATGATGTTGTTACTATTATATTATACGTAATGGTATTAAAATATAGACCAAAACTAATCAATCACTGAAAATTTTTTTGAAATTAATCAATAAATTACTTAGAAATAGATTATTGAAGTTTACGTATTTTAGTACGGAATGTCTGTGGTTTCTGATTTGCCTGTGACGTCATTTGACCTATCCGAGATCGCCGCACCACGAATCATTCAAATAATTAGTTCTTGTACTAATATTTATTCTGTAGTATTAGTTTCAGAGCCGTGCCAGGGCTCTTGCTTCGTTCGGGCTTATTTACGTACAGTCGTGTTTCTTTTTTATTTATGAGTGTGTAGTTTTTACTTCATTATGATGAAAGACAGCTTCGTCTAAGGAGTAAGTGATAATTTGCCTAATATTGTTATATACACAGTAATGGACTTTTTTCTTGAAATCCGTCTTATGTTAGTGCTGGAAATAAAAGGAGTTAAAGTTTTTAAGTATATATATATATATATATATATATATATATATATATATATATATATATAAGTTTATTTCAATAGTTATATTTTTGTTTTAAATAAAAATGTTAATATTTTTAATCGCTGTAGACAATTAGTATGATAAAAAATTCATTTCTTCTTATAAAACTATTGATTTTAATTAAAATTAACTCGATAGGATCAAAGTCGGGCGACTGTGCAGGCTAATAAGTGTTAGCAGGATGTGTAAGGCCAAAACTTGAATATCGTGATCTTGGAGAGCGGCCGTCACCAGCCGCCCCGTATAGGAAGGAGCATTATCGTGCATCTGTGTGGGACAATAACATGCTCTGCTACCTCCTCGTGGTATTTGTGTGCAGTCATGCTGCCTTGGATCCAAACGAGCTGGGTTCATCTACCAAGACGAATTCCTGCCCACACCATGATTGTCCCGCCTTGGTATGAGTAGACGGCTAACTCTCCCTGGAGTTCTTCAAACGCGTGTTCTTCGTGAATCCGAATGAAACCGGTGTTTGATGAGTTTTTCTGGAAAAAACCATACAATGGGATTATACGAACTTAGAGGGTTGTATTGATGATTATAATGATTATAATTATGTAAATACATACTCGTTACAGTCGCGAATCATATTTTGTTAAACATACAACCTGACCCTGACCTGCAAATTCCAAAAAACGCAAGAAAGTTTGAATTTCGCGGGTCACCCTGGAGCTTTCATCTTAATGTTCCCCCAACTAGTCGATGTTTGATTAAGTTTTCTATGCCATTTTCAACCGGTAAATAAATTTGATTTTTAAAGTACTTACATACATTTTTTTAAATACTAGTAATGTTATTAAACATTACTATACTAGAATTATATTGTCCGTGCAGTTTGGGTCATAAATCATCGGAGTATTTCGCTTTCTCTCCCACTCCCTTAGGGGCGAGCATAGTGTTGCGCATTATTGTTGTCGATAAGCGTTATCGATAGTGTATTTAGTTTTGTCATTATGTGGGTTAGCGATAACAATTTAAAAAAAATAGATTAAATAACATATTTATTAAAATAAGAATAATAATGATTTAAAATAAATTATTACTTAGGTATCTATATATTAAAAAAACTATAAGTACAAATGTTTGGAATGTAACAAGTTATATTAAAAATAAATATAAATATAAAGATAATAACTTATATCTAAAATTAAATCTAAAACTATTTACATTAAAATTCTACATCAAAATCATCAGAGTCATCGTCATCCACATGATTACGATATCTTCTGCCAGATGAGATTTCTTCAAGTCTTCCTCTTGGAGTTTTTCTGCATGCCTCACGCAATCTTCCCAGTTCTTTTGCGATATATGTACTAAATTATCATTGCACTAATTTGCAGTTATTAGGTGGGGGTAATAATGGAAAACAAATAACTCATAACATAACAATATCACACCATCCTTTGTATACCGCACCGCCGCCGTGTACCTGCCTTCGATGATTCATTTGTAGTTATAGATAATGGCGTTGCGCCCACGCAACATGCTCACCGCCCTATCCGGGCTGAGGCCGAGCTATGATTTATGACCCCAACTGCATGGACAAAATAATTTTACTATAATATCCCCTTTAACCACTTCTGGTAAGCTTAAAATGCTTGTGTTAGAAGTGGTTCACAAAAGTAGTCGAATGGCGGATGGAATGGCGGACCTACGACCTTTCGAGTTCACGGTCCGCATCCTGCCATTAGGCTACTGACACTTCAAATATAAAGTAAAAAAGTAAAATAACAAATACATTTACATAAAATAAATAGTTATTTTTACTGAATAAGTTATTCCAAACCTACTTACGACTCAATAGGTATATCAACAAGTGGGATGCGGGAAGTAAAGACTGTAAGAACCTCCGAAGGAGGTGGAATTATAGCCGAAATAAGAATTTTTAATTTTTGGGTTATAGGCCATTTTGACACCCTAGGAGTGTAATGAGAACTTTTTGCCCCTATTCAACCATGACCCCCATGACATTTTATACATGATAGGCTATTCAAACTGACTAGGCCTAAAGTTCGAGTCACCCCCCAACTCATTACTAGTCTTTACTTCCAATTACTTCCAAATCAGAAATAGGCAGCTTTTATTAATAGTTACTCACACCAAAATGATCTTCACACATATATTTAGTGCTTTTAGGTGCAATTAAATTGCGGTTCATTAGTTTACACCACTTTATCCTTGTTTTTATACTATTTGGTGTACGAGAAAAAAAATATTATTGGGATTTTTTACTTTTGTGCTTTGACACATAGGAACAATACAATATTTGTAGACCTTTTTCTTACTTTTGCCATCGGGTAATGAACAAAACAATAAATTTGTACGTATTCGGCGAATACGTGCTGCGTCGTCTAGGTCAAATGACGTCACACGACCGAGCGCCGCGTGTAACTTAATTATTCTTGTAATCGCAGCTTTCTTTTATTGATTCTTTCACATTTTTGTTTTATTTTACTCAAATTTTTATAATTTATCAATTAAAAAAAATGGAAACTTTTCCATTGCCCAGCGATGAGTTGATGCGGAAAAAAGTTGTATAGTGTCTGTACAAATCCAAAGAATGAGATTGCTCCAACGTAGCTCTCCGCAGCACGTACTCAAACAAAATTCAGTGAGTGCGTTGCACATGGAACGTAATGTGCAGAAAAATAACTATTTTCTGAATATGGGCCTGTAGACCATTGTTTATACATATTTGACCACCAGGCATATTTGACGCATTAAGGCTGACTCACGCTAGACCGTGTCGGGTCCGAGCCGAGTGTCGGCCGTAGCACGGTCAACTAATATTACATATATTTTGTATGGACACACACACGCTATACCGAGCGGCAACCGAGTGACGACCGAGACGGACAACGCCCGGAAACAACTCGGTCCCGGCTCGGCTCGGCCATCCGCTCGTTGCATGAATACAGTGCGCTGAGCTGCGCCCGAGCAGTCGTAGTAGTGCTATACAAGTGTACTCATGTTTTGTTCATCGTCGGAAAATGAACAACAAACGTTTGATTGAGGCTGTGAGGAAGTATCCAGCATTATATGAAATGAGCGATAGGAAATATATAAACTCCAATTATAAGTCTTCATTATGGGTCAAAATAGGCGAAGAAATCAAAGAAACTGGTAAGCAGATACATTTCATTGTACTTTATTAATCAACCTTAGTTACTTAACTACTACCCGTGCGCAACAAGTTGAGACTTGCGCCCGCTCCATAGCCCGCTCACAGCGCTCAGGTCTCAACTTGTCACGCACGGATTATAATTTTTTAAATCGTGATTTGCATTTATTAATGTTTTGAGTATTACATTATTTCGTCATTACGTTCAGACAAAATAATTTTTAAAGATTTCTCTAACATTAAATCCATTATTAGGAGGCCTCCCCACGTGAACGGGCAATGGCCTTAGCAAATTGTTCGTTGTAGTTAAATCTTGCCTTAAATATCCAATGTCATTTCTTTGTCGTAAAAATTATGGACTACACAAGTACTTAAAATAATGTAATCCACATTTTCTGGATATGACTTGATTCTTCTAGAATAAATTCTGATTTTTTGTGTTAAAATGCCACAGGCATTTTCGACTAGTCGTCTGGCCAGCGTCAATCTCAGATAAAAATATGTATTAGCACTATTTGTAGCGACCCGATCACTTGGGTATGGTCTCATTAAATAAGTCTTTAAAGGGAAGGCTTCATCGCCAACTATAACATGCGGTACAGTTATTGTGGTACTGGGCAAATATCTTCCGATGTATATTTTAGTGAATTGTTATTCAACCGTTGTCTCAAAGAACTATTGCCAAATATACCACCGTCGCTATTACGGCCGTAGGACCCAACATCTACGAAAATAAATTTGTAATGAGTATCCACCAATGCCAACAATACAATGAAATATGTTTTCTTGTAATTGAAGTAGACAGATCCACTGCTAAGTGGTACATCAATTGTAAAGTGTTTTCAATCGAACGCCCCTATACAGTTTGGAAATTTCCATAGGCTTTGGAATTCGTGAGCAATACTTTTCCATGTCTCTTCATTTGGCTGTGGCATCACTTCATTCATTAGTCTGTTGACAATAGCTCGACATTTTTCCTTTATAATTTGAACTACAATTGAGCGACCAATTTGATTATTCATTGAAATCGTTTTAAATGAATCATCGGTAGTTAAAAATCTCACAATAATGTTGCATTATTACAATTGTATTGTTTTTTTTTCTTACAGATGCGAATTGCAAAAAAAGATGGTCAAATATTAGAGATCAATTCAAAAGAACACTAAACAAAAAAGAAACAATAAGTAGGCAAAGTTCTACCGCTATAAAGAAATATAAGAATAAGGAGATCCTACAATTTTTGCTAACCTACATTCAAAATCGTAAAACGATATATAATATCGAAGACGACGATACAGACACAAATAAATTGGTGAAACAACAAGAGCAAGAGTCACAAGAGATGGGGACAGACAATAATCAATGCACGAAAGAGATAAGAAACGAAGGAGACACAGACACCCAACGAGCTAGGGTTACAGGAGACAGGGTCACAGAAATACAAAGTAACGATGAATCTACTACACAACAGAGTGGTAAAAGTAGTAATTGTAGCAGTGGTAAAGTCAGTAAAAGTCATACAGTGCCACACAAACAGTCCTCATCTGAAACTTTAATGAAGTACATTATTGAAAATAACGCAAAGAAGCAAAATGAATATAATAAATCACACCCAAACAAATAGATGATTTCTTTAATGGCCTTTCAAGTACAGTAAAATCATTCTCTTCGTATTACCAACATGTGAAATGTGAATCAACACCATCGTCATCGGCCTCAACACCAATTCTGTTACACAAAACACATAAACACTCATGCCCGTCACCCAGAGGGGTAGGCAGAGACTATGGACTTCCATTTGGCACGATCCTGACACACCTCTCTCGCTTCTTCCACATCCTATATTCCTATACATACACGCTCGTCGGTTAAAGGTACTCTTAATTTGGCCCATTTTCAATATATCGCCAATTTGGTCGATAAACTTTCGCCTAGGGCGTCCCTTCCCGACTCTTTCCTTCACCTCTGTAACATAAATTTGCTTTGTCACTCTTTTCTCATTCATTCTGTCTACATGACCAAACTACCGAAGCATTCCTTTCTTAATTCTGGTCACAACATCATCTTGCAAACCACACTCTTCTCTTATCAAACAATTCTGTTACAATACACAGAAATTCCAACATCGGCATCGACCGTTTTGGATTCATCTCGTTATATAATTAATAGAATCAGGCGTTACTTTGCGGAAATCCATTATATAAAAGCTTTTACAAAAATTTACTTCGCAAATATCCGCGTTATAAAATAAAATGATGTGTCTTACCTAGTATGAAGAAGCACCTCCCGCCCTCCCTCAATTGCGTGCACTATCCCCGTCACCACTAATCCCAGCACCGCTACTTCCAACACCACTACACTAGGCAAGACACACCACTGACGATAATACCACACGTGTTTCGCCTCTACAGGAGGCATCCTCAGGTGATATAGACTCTACGGTGGCTAACCGCTAAGTGAGCGGCGAGCCAAAACAAGTGCCTTTTATACAAACCGATGATGCAACCGCTCTCTACCTAAGGAGCGAGCGACTGCGTCATGCGATAAAACATGCGACCAATCACCGCTGGACTTACGCAGCCGTTTGTAAAATTAAAAACAAACCGCCGCGCAACGCCCACATTATTAGAGAGCAGGCTTGAAGATATTTAAGAGAGGTGAGTTAGTAACATTTGTTTGTTCATTCAGCAATGCAACGGTATTATTATTACTTTTTAATATCTCTAACTGTTCCAGCACACACAGCCGCAGCCCTTTATTACACGTATGTAAGACTTTAAAGGAGTGGTCGTTGGCTAGGTTGTGTCCAGTGTCCAAAAGATGTTTGGCAAAATGGGATTTATCGGGATTGCAATTCCTGTACGCGGCTAAATGCTCTTTATAACGTGTCTCGAAATTGCGACCAGTCTGACCCACGTAAACGGCGTGGCATTCGTCACAAACAAGTTTGTAAACACCTGACTTTTGACGAATATCCAACTTATCTTTACTATTACAGATATTTCTAAGAGAATTGTTTGTTTTGAACGCCACATGAACGCCGTTTTGTGGAAGAGTATTAGCTACTTTTTCAGATATGGGGCCTAAGTAGGTCAAACTGCTCACATATCGATGAACACTTTGAGGTGGAACCGCGTACAGAGAGTTGCGAATAACATGCTTTTGTTTCTTTTTAATTAAATTGTTAATGAGATTTTTTGAAAAACCGTTAGAGACCGCTATTTGATAAATTATATTTAGTTCTTTTAAATAATTTTCTTTACTTAATGGGACAGTGAACAAACGGTTAATGTAACAATAAAAAGCGGCTACTCTATGTTGCCATGGATGACGTGATGACGCGGGGATGACCGTGTCGGTGTGAGTTGGCTTTCGATAAATTTGGAAAACATTTGACGATTCTTTTCTTGTTATTGTTAAGTCAAGAAAATTAAGGGAACAATCTTGTTCCAATTCAAGATTAAATTTAATTTTGTCATGGACTCTATTTATTTTATTGAGGAAAACATCCAGTTGTCTCCTTGTGCCAGTCCAGCAAATAATTATGTCGTCTACATATCGATAGTAATATAAGATATTTTGATTGACAACTATATGTTGTTTTTCGAAATTATCCATGAAAATGTCCGCCATAAGGGGACTTAGAGGGGACCCCATAGCTAACCCTTCTTTTTGTAGATAGAAACGGTTATTAAACCGGAAATAGTTTTGTTTCATACAGAGAGAGGTTAAGTTAAGAAGATCATTTGTTTCCCCGGGATGTAGACGACGTTTTTCAAAGAGATCTGCGAGTATACGCAAACAGTCAGGGGATGGGACATTTGTGAAAAGACTATCAACGTCTAAAGATAACAATATGGATTTAGGAGGAATACGAATATCTTTAATTTTGGAAATGAGATCTAAGCCATTTTTTAGGCTGTAAGTGGGGTTGAATCCAGATTTCTCTCGAAGGAGGAAGTTTAATTTTTTTAGCAAGGAAATAAGCTGGTGCACCAATATATGAGACAACTGGACGAATAGGAACATGTTCTTTATGTATTTTTGGTAACCCATATAAAATGGGTGCTTGAGGATTCATTGGAACAAGATTGCTCCGAGACAAGTTGTGATCGGGAAAAACATATGATGACTGTCGTATACATAACTTAATATCCGAAGTAAACTTGTTAGCTATGGGGTCCCCTCTAAGTCCCCTTATGGCGGACATTTTCATGGATAATTTCGAAAAACAACATATAGTTGTCAATCAAAATATCTTATATTACTATCGATATGTAGACGACATAATTATTTGCTGGACTGGCACAAGGAGACAACTGGATGTTTTCCTCAATAAAATAAATAGAGTCCATGACAAAATTAAATTTAATCTTGAATTGGAACAAGATTGTTCCCTTAATTTTCTTGACTTAACAATAACAAGAAAAGAATCGTCAAATGTTTTCCAAATTTATCGAAAGCCAACTCACACCGACACGGTCATCCCCGCGTCATCACGTCATCCATGGCAACATAGAGTAGCCGCTTTTTATTGTTACATTAACCGTTTGTTCACTGTCCCATTAAGTAAAGAAAATTATTTAAAAGAACTAAATATAATTTATCAAATAGCGGTCTCTAACGGTTTTTCAAAAAATCTCATTAACAATTTAATTAAAAAGAAACAAAAGCATGTTATTCGCAACTCTCTGTACGCGGTTCCACCTCAAAGTGTTCATCGATATGTGAGCAGTTTGACCTACTTAGGCCCCATATCTGAAAAAGTAGCTAATACTCTTCGACAAAACGGCGTTCATGTGGCGTTCAAAACAAACAATTCTCTTAGAAATATCTGTAATAGTAAAGATAAGTTGGATATTCGTCAAAAGTCAGGTGTTTACAAACTTGTTTGTGACGAATGCCACGCCGTTTACGTGGGTCAGACTGGTCGCAATTTCGAGACACGTTATAAAGAGCATTTAGCCGCGTACAGGAATTGCAATCCCGATAAATCCCATTTTGCCAAACATCTTTTGGACACTGGACACAACCTAGCCAACGACCACTCCTTTAAAGTCTTACATACGTGTAATAAAGGGCTGCGGCTGTGTGTGCTGGAACAGTTAGAGATATTAAAAAGTAATAATAATACCGTTGCATTGCTGAATGAACAAACAAATGTTACTAACTCACCTCTCTTAAATATCTTCAAGCCTGCTCTCTAATAATGTGGGCGTTGCGCGGCGGTTTGTTTTTAATTTTACAAACGGCTGCGTAAGTCCAGCGGTGATTGGTCGCATGTTTTATCGCATGACGCAGTCGCTCGCTCCTTAGGTAGAGAGCGGTTGCATCATCGGTTTGTATAAAAGGCACTTGTTTTGGCTCGCCGCTCACTTAGCGGTTAGCCACCGTAGAGTCTATATCACTTGAGGATGCCTCGTGTAGAGGCGAAACACGTGTCGTATTATCGTCAGTGGTGTGTCTTGCCTAGTGTAGTGGTGTTGGAAGTAGCGGTGCTGGGATTAGTGGTGACGGGGATAGTGCACGCAATTGAGGGAGGGCGGGAGGTGCTTCTTCATACTAGGTAAGACACATCATTTTATTTTATAACGCGGATATTTGCGAAGTAAATTTTTGTAAAAGCTTTCATCTCGTTAGTCAGAAGACTCGACTGGTACAAAGCTGCCATCGATATCTCCAACAGTCCAGCCTCCTGCTCCATTAGACGAAAATTTGCGATCAATAACTCCAGAAAATTCTGCTGGAGTTTATTTATGTCATTTTATATCTAATTAACATTGCTGTGATTGTAATTAATCAACAAATATATGTATAAATTAAATTAATGAATATTTCTTTATAATAATATTAATGTTTCTCTGCCCGGGACCCTGACCTCCAACCGACTATACTGCTGCCGGAGACAAAACCGTCTCTCTTTATTTTAATAATAATTATAAGAAATTGCCATGTGCATTAAGGCCGCCTTTTGTAATATCTTCTCTTTACCACTTTGTATTATTTTGTACAATAAAGAAAAAATTCCTGGGACAATCACGCACCTCACTAACTCACCTCATCTGGATATCGCATCACAGGGTAACCGGGTTGTGGAGGTCAGATAGGCAGTTGCTCCTTGTAAAATACTGGTACTCAGCTGCATCCGGTTAGACTGGAAGCCGACCCCAACATTGTTGGGAAAAGAGCAGATGAATCACACACCATATAGCTGCCAGCTAGCTGATAAACATACACGTATAGATACTATATAGACTTAAATAGATAATTTTACACCCAGACACAGCGCAAGCTCAATCTTGATTGGGACTCGAACCCACGACCTCTGGCACCTAAGCTAGGGTCATTACTAACAGCACGCCAGCCAAACATAACACTTTCATCTTTGAACAGACCGTATGTCATTACAGAGGTGATATTACTAGTTCAAGTGTTACCGGTAATTTGGTGTCAACTGTACTTTCTATCCGAAATAAAAAAAAAGAGACATACCTAAGGTAAGAGCTAATAGATGTTTGGATGAAATAGGAATCTGAAACTTTGTATTGCATTTGGTCAAATCATCTTTAATTTCATGTGTATGATGTCAAAAAAATTTTTTGTCATTTTAAAGTAGTCCCAATATTTGTCTTCATAACTACCTAGATCTTTATAAAGTATCACAAATTCTCCTTTCTTTTGTCGCTCTCTCCAAAGTGGATGCACACTCCATTTACTTGTAGTTGAAGATTTATCAGATTCTTCAGCGTCCAGAGCGATCGCAATAGCCACTAATTCCAAATTGTCAAAATTCAACATGATTGTAGTCTAGTTACAACACTTTTTTTGCTCGAACGTGTATGCTGCACCACGGCGCAACGGTAATTGCTCGGTCGAGGCCCGTCTTTGTAATTACAGGTACGGGATCGGCTCGGTGACTGTGCTACGGCTTAATAATATAATAAGGCCGATACTCGGCTTGGACCCGACACGATCTAGCATGAGTCATCCTTTATCGTAAGCCTGGCCTCTCGTATTTTTTATTTCAATGTTAATATAACATTTAAAAAAATTAAAATTTTAGCGGCCAATCCGTCCCAGTAAGTAGGCCAGTATATTTCGTCAACTAACAGCATGTGTCGAAAAATCGCATTAATGCATATTGTCATTGAGGATACAAAGTTTCTAATTAAATTCAATTACCTTTGTGCGCGCGCGGGGCCCCTAGCCTATGCGCGGGCTCTAGGCAGTTGCCTAATCTGCCTAATGGTTAATCCGACCCTGCATACGGCCAGCAGTGAGAAACCACCATTAAAGTGAAATCAATACTCTTAGTAGTCTGTGAGTGAAACAATCGAAATGTTAATACTTATATTCTAAGACAGGGCAACACTGTCTTTAACTGTCAGAACTCAGCAGTCATTCGAATTTTGGCGGGAACTTGATCGGCGGCGGCTTGCTGCTCCTGTATTATTGTTTAAATAATGGTTTGAAGTGGACTTTGATATATAAAAGTGATGCGATTTTGTGTATTAAGTATCTGCGCATGTAAACTATTAGTGGAAACTGTGAAACAAGTGCTCTAATGGTGATGGATTCTCAAGATAAGCTGTTTGTTTGCATAGGCGCCTTTAGGTACCATCGCCAACTGTTAGCTGCCTGCTGGCTCAAGTTGCCGTCAAAATCTCCCAAGGGATTATGAAGGATAATTACACATGAAGACAAGGCTGTATGGCATAGTTCCTTTGCCTACTCTCTCGAGCGAATAATAAAAACAACAACAATCAGCAGTCATTCGTCTCGTCTGTCAAATTGACAAAAAATGGCAACGGCGGCAGCGGCAATGGCTAGTTGATTTTGCTTTTCACTGTACGTTGGAAATAAAGGGGTTATAGGATTATTAATAATTAAATTAAATTATGTCAATATCAACAACTTATAAATTGAACAATATCTAAACTTTTATAAACGAAAGTAATAGCAAATATAACCATGGATCTCCATCGACCAGTTGACTCCAATAAGGTAATGAATTATTTTGAATCGTTATAAAATATGTCTTGACTGTACGATAACTATTATTGAATAATAAACATACATCGTTATTTGGATAGTCCTTGCTGTGACGTACTTGAAACTATTGTATCAATAAATTTTTATGCCTTAACAAGTAATAAAGACCTTTATATTTACATTATTTTATAATAGGACTATTGTTTAATTCACACATATATTAACACATAACATGTGTAAATAGCTATTTATTTTTACAAACTTATGGTATCTAACAAAAGGTGATAATTTTAAAACATTCTTGAAAAGAAGAACAGTCAAGAAGTTTTTTTTTGTTTGGATTGGTGATTTGGTCCTTGAACTAATAATCATCTTACATTGTTTAGTAAGTTTATTTTACTATACATTAGCTTTAATGATTTGGAAAGTGATTTGAGTATATTTGAAAGTAATAATTTAAAGTTTTTACAACCGACTTCAGTATAAATTATTAAGAATAACTCAAAACCTATTGGTCAGACCTTAATCAAATTTATATGGGATCACATGTGACTGCTGGCCGTATGAGGAAGCTCAAGGTCGCTCAGTGAGCTATGGAGAGGGCTATGCTCGGGGTTTCTCTGCGTGATAAACTTAGAAATGAGGATATCCACAGTAGAACCAGAGTAACCGACATAGCCCAATGGATTAGTAAGCTGAAGTGGTAGTGGGCCGGCCATATATTTCGAAGAACCGACAACCGATGGGGAAGAAAGGTTCTCGAGTGGCAGCCTCATACCGGTAGGTGAAGTGTAGGATGACCCCCCACTAGATGGAGTGACGACCTGGTGAGACATGCAGGAAGTCGATGGATGTAGGTGGCTCAGGACCGTGATTTGTGGCATTCCTTAGGGGAGGCCTATGTTCAGCAGTGGACTTGTGAAGGGCCAGCTTTCAAATAAAAAAGAATCATTGAAATGGGTTCACCCAGTAAAAAGTTATGAGGCCAGCAACGCAAAGTCAGGAATTTGCATTTAGAGAAACCCAAAATTAGGGGCTTTTTAGGTATTAGCACCTAACCAACTTTAAAGAAAGGACTAAGACGGAATGCCTCACAGTCTCTAATTACCAAACATCTGCACTGCTGTTTGGCAACAAAATCAGATTTATGGGTGGTACCTACACAGACACTGTCAACGTCTGTCTAAGCAGAAAAGGTATGAATGGACTACAAATTTACCAGTTAGTAAATTTGTAGGCTATTCAATATCATTAATTAAATAAATAACTTCAAATAGGAGAACTTCCCTTTTTTATTTTCTACCGACTTCAAAAAAGAGACAGTACTTGGTTCGACTGCCAGCAATGCAAAGTCAGGAATTTGCATTTAGAAAAACCCAAAATTAGATGGTATTTAGGTGCTAATTAAATGCCAAGTTTAAAAATTAGGTGCTCTAAAATTTTTACCGCAACAAACAAACAAACAGTGTCTGTGTAGGTACCACCCATAAATCTGATTTTGTTGCCAAACAGCAGTGCAGATGTTTGGTAATTAGAGACTGTGAGGCATTCCGTCTTAGTCCTTTCTTTGAAGTTGGTTATAGGTGCCCATGCGCTGCCTCTGCAACTTACCATCTGTTGGACTGTAAGTTTGTTTGTCACTTTCCACCCATTAGGGCTTATAAAAGTTCAGTGTGGAACTTAGGCTTCTCCTATAGATTGCCTCATAGGGAGGATTTCACCATAGTTGCGACGCTTGGCAACCACAGTTTTTTAATATTTTGAGTTGTCGTCAGAAAGATGCTGCTGCCCATTTTCTGTTTTAGTTCCCCTCTGTCTCTTTTTACAACAAAATGGGACAATATGGGGAAGTGGATATTCTTACATTACCACTACATGGTGTTTGCCACTTTAATAAATGAAATTAAATCTTGAAGTACTCATGTTTTTTTGCCATAGTTGCCAAGCTTGACAGGCAGGTTGGCAACTGCAGTTTCTTAATATTTTTAGTTATTATCTGGAAGCTGCTGCTGCCCATCTTCTGGTTTAGTTTCCTTCAGTCTCCTTTTAAGACACCTACAGGATGATGATATGGGGTAGTGAATATTCCTACACTACCGCTAGACGGTGTTTGTTACTTTAATAATAATTGATATTAAGTTAATTTTTAATCATGTAACATCATTAATTGTGAAGTACTCATGCTTGATGATATTTAAGATTGGCAGTTAAACAGTCTGGATCTGGGCTACTCTCAAAATTACATTACAGTCACTACATTTGGCAAGCATATTGGTAATTGTAGTAAATGAAATTGTGAAAATTTTTGAGTGCATTTTTATGGAATAAGTGTGACAAACGAGCACACAGTCCACTTGATGGTAAGTGGATGCTGCATCTACATTTATCCTCAATTAAGAATCAAAATGCAGATGCGTTGTCATCCCTAAAGACTGAGATGGAATGCCTCATTTCCAGTAAAAAGTGTCTCCGATTCTCTACACTCACCATACGAAACACAGCGGTGTTCAACTGCTATTTTACACTTGTGTTCTTTGAAAGCGTGGTCCTCCAACCAATTCGTGCTACAAACATAACATAGCTGCAGCGTGGCTCTACCACATGTAAAATTAATTAAGTGTTTGGTAATTATTTAAGGCACTTAGCAGTAATTATTTCTCATATTTATGTATTTTTTAATCAATTTTTGCAGACATATGAAGAGATGACAGCAGATGAAAAACTAAGGTGAGTTATTGTGATTCATCATTATTACAGCCACTCACTGAGCAAATGTCAAACAAGTACGCTGCTGTACATAGACCTTCCCATAAATTGCCATAGTTACCACTCTTGGCAGGCAAATTGGAAAACAGGCGGTTTTTTATTTTCTAGTTGTTACTACGAAGCGACGACACTGCTGCCAATCTCTTGGTTTGTTTCTGAGTGTCGCCTCTTACGACACCCGCTGCACGATATGTGGTAGTGGATATCCTTGCATCAACACTAAATGGTGAATTTAAATATATGATCAATTAGATTTCCATATTTCCACAGATACGATCATCAGAAGATGCACGAGATGCATCGCGGCCACGAGTCGATGCACACTACCATGGTGATGATTCTCATAGTGACGCTGATCGTGGCGCAGGTCATCGTCGTGGAATGGAAGAAGAGGCATTACAGATCTTATGCGGTAAGATGGGATACTATTTTAAGAATAAAATTATAGGACAGATAGTAAGAATAAAATAAAATGAAACGATACTAAATATATTACTTCGTTGATGTAACAGGAAAATTTCGTTATTAAATATCATTTTTTTAAAACACACTCGTGCACTCTAATACTGTCATGTGCACATGGCTTGTCTTGTGACCTTCGGTAATCCAGCCCCTGGCTAAGTCACACCCCCTTGTAATCCGACATGACTTGAATGAATCCAACACGGAGTGGGAGGGGGGGGGGGGTCCTTCGCGTGGACCAACAAGTTGCAATTAATTGGCGTAGCCTAGTGGGCATTCATCATTTACTGTTCAGTATTCATTGTGCATTATATGATTTTTTTATTTTTTATTATTTTATATTTGGTATGTAATTTGTCGGATTAGAAGGTATTATTTTTCAAAAAGTTCTGCCCTACCAGGGGGCTGTGGCAGTATTCTATAGCCCTACAAATTCGATAATCTGACACCGCCTTGCAAAGCGTTTATCGGATTACCGCAGGTCAACTGTATTGTTTTTTTCTAACTTTTTTTGTTGTATTAATTTCTTTGTATATTGTGTTGTGTGGGATGTACAGTTCCTTCATTCATAATAATCCCGATAGTAATCCAAATATATTAACCCACTTTCAGTTCTTCACAATGATTGCGATGTGGTCGATACCGGTGCTGATGAGTCTAAAGAACCAATGGTGGCGATTCATAATTATATGGACAATCTTCACACTACTAACAGCCGTAGTTATAAGGAAGTCTACTACCAAACCTATGTCGGTAACTACACCAAGGTAAGTTTTATCTTTACGTTTCGGACATTTCAGTATATATATCTCCTTTAGTAGTAAGAACTAGCTGTTAACTAGTAAGAACTAACTAGCGCGACTTCGTCTGTGTGGGAATTTTTTATGGTTGGATTTCGTAGGTTTTGATTTCTTGGCGTGGAACTCTAATTGATTTTCTAAAATAAAAGTAGCCTAAGTTACTTCTCGTACTTAATATCAGCTATCTGCCAGTGAAAGTCCCTTCAAAATCTGTTCAGCCATTTCGAAGATTAGTCTGAACAACAGATATAGACAGACAATTAAAATTGTCTTTCTGTTATAAGTATCATATATAAGCGAAAATACATCTAAGCCTAAATCCCGCTATCAAACTTTTCGAAGTAAAAGCAGCATATATAGCACCGAACTACCACTCGGAGGGTTAGCCGCTCCCTGGACTGAACACCTTGCCCTGCGGGAGATCTCTCCTTTTTCTTCTACGGCTACAGTGGTGACCCCGACGCGCCACAATACTTTCATATGCATTTATTAAAAAAGTGTTATTATGCCATTACAAACAGACACTTCAATTTTATTTATTTGTATAGATGTATAGATTTTACTTAATCGACACACCAGGCAAGCGGATCGGCAATTGTATAACATTGTGCATGTGCATTTTTTTATATAAATTTTTATTATATAAAAAATGTACATGCACAGTTGTGGACTTGATGGTCCACTATGACTGAATGAAATAAATTGTATATGTCACAGTCAAAACTCATAACCGGTTAGAATTGGTTCTGACCAACGTTTTTAGTCAAAAGTAATTTTGCCTCATTATCAGTGACAATAGGTCGGCTGGGGTGGCCATTGGGCCACCCTAAAGACGCGTACATTATAATGATATATAATATAATATTGAAGACATTTAACTTTTTAATTTCAGAAATTCAAAAAATATAAGTCAAAAGTAGTTTTGATTAATATTCTTGGTCAAAATCACTATTATCCAATATTTTTTTAGTTAAAATGGTTTTGACCAATGTCCTTAGTCAAAGCTACTTTTGACTGCAAAAGTCTATTAAAATTGGTATTGACCAACGTCAAGTAGTCACACAGTCAAAACTTTTTTTGTCTGGTTTTTTTACAGTCAACAGTGGTTTTGACCGGTTATGAGTTTTGACTGTAACATGTACACTATTAGTAATAAAGTAAAAAGATCTTGCTTGGTTTCTTGGTGGTTTTTCCCAGGAGAGAATTATAATCTGACACAGTGGTAAATCAACATTTTGATTTTAATAACTATTATGGAGTAATCTGAAACGTTATATTTGTACACATATTATAGAAATTACAACTAAATAATCACCTGACGTAAACTTAAGAAGGCTTCTGTGTCACATGTGTCCAGTTTTGCACTTACATATTTGATTTGTAAGTGTTAAACTTAATATATTTTTCAATTATCTATATTTTAGGAGAAAAATACTTTTGTCTAATGAAAAACATATATCAGTTCATTATTTTCCATATTTAACATAATTTTTTTGATTGCTTTAATAATATTGTTATTGAATAATAATGTTCTTTTAATCTTTTAACTATCACCAACATTCCTCCGGTCCTCAGATTGGTGTACAAATGGTTTTACCTCATATATAAAGTGAGTTGTTTCCTGGGCGTGTTCGGATACGTAGCGATGATGCTCACTTTCCTCGGCTTGAACGTAATGTTTGGCCACAAGCCACAACAGTGGATGGACGTGGCGCTTATGTTTTTGTTCTACGGGTTGTACTTTGGCGTGCTGGGCCGAGATGTTGCAGAGTATTGCACCGACAAGATGGCCGCCTCTATTGGGGTGAGTTGGTCGAGTTGTTTAAGCTATAAGGTCCCATGTGGTAGATTTTATAAGTGGTAGCTACTTTATGGTTGTAGCATAAATGAACCGAGGTTGGACCACGCTCTCACAGATTGCCAGCATAAAATAGCAGCTTAATGCTGCTGTGTTTTGTGTGGTGAGTGTAGAGAGAACTGGAGATACTTTTTATTGAAAATGGGGCATTCCAACTTAGTCCTCGGGGTTGACAGTACATCTGAATTTTGATTCTTAATTGAGGATAGATGTTTGAGCCCGCAGCATCCATTTATCTTATGTGGACTGTGTGCTCGTTTATCACCCCTATTCTATAAAAAAAATAGTCTTAGCGCAGAGGTCCTGTTAATTTCGCGTACAGGCCGTGTTCAAAATATAAGATACAATAGTTCACATAATGTTTTCGCTTTAACTCTAAAGATGGTGCTCCCCATGTGTTTTCTTCGATCTTGATTGAACTATTCAGGTAATTTGAATGCCATTACGTTTTTATGAATTTTTGCTATTTCAAATACTCATTTACAGAAGGGCATAGACAATATCTATGGCGAAACCGTTTCATTAATTAAAATTTATTGTGCACACAAACGTTTTCCCAAAACCCATTGAAGTATTTCAGTAAAATATTTCTTTCATTATTAAAGAAATAATAATAACCTATTTTTCTCATGTCACAAGATATTTCACCTCATGGATTGTGACGACAAACAAACAACCAGTACATCTGATAATATCCATCTTAGACCACAGGGGTGACAACGTACCTGCATTTTGATTCTTAACATAAATGTGGATGTCCATGGGTCACAGCATCCACTTACCATCAGGTGGACAGTGTGCTCGCTTGTCACCCTAATTCTATAAAAAAATAGGTAAGGGGGTGGTACAAACCCAAACGGACTGCTATAAAGAAAAGGAATCCTTCCACCTAGTGAAGGTGCTGCAATGTTCTATTCGAGAATGTTCCCATAGCCGAGCTGTAGCCTGTTTGCATATTGATTGGGAAGAGAAATCAATAATTGTCTTGGTACTTTCAGTATTACACAAAAGAGGGAATGCCAACCCGACAGTTGGAGAACAACGTTTGTGCTGTGTGCGGCAACAAGCTGTTGGTAGACGTCAATGAAGAGGGAGTGCTCGGTGAGTTGCTAGCGGTATTGGTGTTGGTAGTGAGTTAAAACTAAACCCACAATGCAGCCATATGAATAGAGCGATTGAACCAATAACACAGTTCGTTCGTTAGTCAAGCTAAGTCCAAATACGTCATTGATATTAAGTGCCGTTTAAGACGTATTGTTTTCACATTCCCACTGTGTCCAAATACGTCATTCCAAATACGTCATCAACAAACGAGCACACAGTCCACCTGATGGTAAGTGGTTGCTGTGGCCCATAGACATCTGCATTTATCCTTAATAAAGAATCAAAATGCAGATGCGTCGTTACCCGTGAGGATTAAGATGGAATGCCTCTTTTCCAGTAAAATGGGTCTCCGGTTCTCTACACTCACCATACGAAACACAGCAGTGTCAAGCTGCCATTTTACGCTGGTATTCTGTGAGAGCGTGGTCCTTCCCCGATCGAGCCGACCCGTTCGTGCTACAACTATACTACTAATATAGCTGCGGCATAGCTCTACCACGTTTAAGTACCCTTTGAGACGTATTGATGTCGCTTTCTCACTGTATTATACGTAGTAGAGTAGAGCCAACTACTCGACCCAGGAAGAACCACGCTTGCAGATAACACCAGCGTGGAATTGGAACAATACTGAAGTGTTTTGTATTGTAAGAAACAAGAACAGGAAACTTTCTTTACTGGTAATGAGGCATTCTATCTTAATAATTTCTTCAATAATTAAAAAGGTATAAATAAATATAGAATTGAAATTTAAATAAATAAAAGAAGTTACCGCCGCTCTAGAATAAATTGCACAAGGACAAACATCTAGACCCGGAACAATTATTTGTAGGCCATACAAATACTTATTCTGTGCGGGATTCGAACCGGCGGCTCACAACGCTGCAACTCATTGCTAAGATACAGTGCCACGTAATTCATTGTGGGCCAGGCCAGGCCTTTAAGTTTCATTCTGCTATCTTTTTATCTTCTAAAACCCTAACATATATTCGAATTCTACTCAATTTAAGATGTCATTTAGTCTCGTGGTGTCACAGTCACTTTGACTTAAAGTGATAGAGACAGCACGAGACTTAACGACATCTTAAAATTGGGCATATCTGTTATTATAATTTTTATGAATGCAGAAAACACGTACAAGTTAACGTGCGGGCACGTGTTCCACGAGTTTTGTATCCGCGGCTGGTGCATTGTGGGCAAGAAGCAGACCTGTCCATACTGCAAGGAGAAGGTGGATCTTAAGCGCATGTTCACCAACCCGTATCCTTTTCTTCTGTGCTCGTCTAGTCAAAGAAGGTCTGAAATGAAAATTTTGGCACCTAACTCGGTTAATTTTGACAGGAGGCAAAAAAGGCTCTACACAATTTTATTAGAAGAATTTACCATTTTCGAGTAATTGCGAAAAAACACTTGACAATTTTTTTCAACCCTTGCCGGAGGTCGCAGACACGAAAACCTTTACACATTGTTTTTGTATCATTAAAACGACATTATATAAAACCTTTACACATTGTTTTTGTATCATTAAAACTACATTATATTCAAAATACAAAGTTGAGTGCCAAAAGTTTCATTTCATCCTTTATTTGACCGGACTATTTTAGCATAAACGTTTATTTTATTTACCATATCATCAAATCACCGCTTCATCGAAAATGATCTAATTGCTTATTGCTTATCAACCATGTGATCGATGGTGAGGAAACCAGCTTGCTAAGAAGTAAAAAGTATTTTAAAAACATGTGACGTCCGTATGCCATGCAGTAACGGCATAAAAGAAATTGTTACCCCATATTATAATCTTGTGCATCTTCCGCATAGTAACTCCAACTTTAAAAAAAAACTATGGTTGCCATGTGGGACACATGACACTCTATGTGGTAATTTAAGGGGAGAACTTTCGGCAGTATAATTTGATGGGCTGTTTAATATTGTGACGTCTGCCAACATGCATTGCGCCAGTGTCCAGTTGTAACACATACACTCCCATATCCCTACTAAAATAGGAAAATTATTATTTTGTTAATGTCTAATACAATTTTCAAAGTTTTTTTTTTAACTTATGAGCCAGTGCTTGACCACAATCCCACCTGGTGGTAAGTGGTGATGCAGACCTAGATGGTAAATCGCACTGTCTTAGCGTACCAAAAGCCTATTCACTATTGCTTTGAATTTTTATTGTATTTGGACGGAAAGATAAATTAACGTAATTTTAGAGTATTATAGTGATTTGATTTAATATCTACCTTGACGAGCAACAGTTGGGACCGTCCACACATCCTCTATGGGCAGCTGCTAGACTGGATCAGGTGGCTCGTGGCGTGGCAGCCCCTCATCTTGTTTCTGGCACAAGGAATCAACTGGCTGTTTGGACTGGAGTGAGGCCTGACACAAGGCTTACATTAAATATGTAGCAGAATATTGACTTCGGAGTGTTCATTGTGGGTTTCGTGCAGTGAGAAATGGTTAACGGTGGTTGGACTGTTGTCTTTAGGACTGTAAATTTATATTCGCTAACTTATATTGTTTAATACAGTGAAGAGTTGAGACTGATGCAGTACTCAGATAATCTATGTGAAGGGATTTTAATATTTATTGTAAAATGCATTAGACCAAAATTCCTAACGGATAAAGGTAAGAGAAGATTGTCAACAGTCATAATACAACTAATTTAAAGAATGATTAACACTTGTGAGACTTAAATTGGAATATCACATTGTGGTACTGATTTTAGGAACAGATGTCTTGCTCTCCGTTGCCAGTCTGAGTATTTTAAAATTGGTAAATAAAATGGTTGTACCGCCATGGCACAGTCTACTAATAACAGTTGGTCATTGAAGGCGTGTAGATCGTGTTGCAATCGTGCGGTGCGGTGCGGCCCGAGACGCGTGCTGAGGAACTGTCCGCTAGGGTTGTCCTGTCACACAAATAAATTAAAATGGTTCACATTACACGTGCGGTAAAAAAAACTGGGTCATCCTCATTTAAAGATAAGGAATTAGTTTCATCAGTTTTCACATACACATTAATTTCTTTAAACGTGAAATAAAATAAAATCTGTTTTAATTCTTTTATTACTTCCCGTTCTGACAGCCCTAGCAATTTATTGTTTATGTCGGCTTTTCGGACAACATCAAACGCGATGACTGACTATATGTTCTTTTTGGGCTGTGGCCATGGGTTCTTCTAGGCCACCGCCATACATTGAATATTGAATAAATAAATGTGGGTTTTCATAGTCAACTTTATGTATTCAACTATATACAGTATCTATTTAATATTTAAATATATTAATTAAGTAAAATCTTGTATATAATAACTATTGTTATTTTATTATCTGTTAATTTTTTTTTTTGAATTTTTAAAACCCAGCCAAATTATGGATTTTAAGTAAATTTATTTTCTTGCATTTTTATATATGCCCATTGCATTTAAGAAATTGTGTTCAACCCTAGATTTTTAAAGAATTCTAGTAATACTGTTATGGATATTTTATCTCACGAAGGCTAGCGAGTCTTACCCTGCTGCTTAGTTCAGTTACTAACTTAAAAAAGGACAAGTTAAATTATTTTCTTATGTCACTGCGAACAACTTATCTTCATTTTATTTCTGTTCCGATGGTTATCGCTTATAATTTGATTGTCGAGCTGACTCACATTAAAACAAAGTGCATGTGCAGCTACACTACATGTAAGACCAACACGCTATTGTGAGACAAAAATACTATAATATTAATAAATCTCTCCTAACCACTCCAAGCAAGCTTTTAAACGCTTGTGTTAGAAGTGGTTTACTACAGTAGTCCAATTCCAGAGTCGAATCCATGACTTTCCGACTTAGGTTACTGTAGCCATAAAATTTAGCCTGTTGCATGCATATTGTTGATAAGTAAAACCACGAGATTGTACACTACGAAGTGTTATGCTTTGTACGGACTAAGCGTTCCAATGGACGCGTAATCTAGGTATGTTGAATGCGCGTACAGATGGGTAGTGGATACGCGTACAGGGGCACCTTTATGCATTGCGGCGTTAGTCTAAATTGAGCGTTTACATCCGCTTTGACGCGCAAGCAAAAGCAGACTGGCGACGACTCGCCGTGGGTCGACACGCTACCGACTAGCGTTCCTGTGTACGCGTAACCGACTACGCGCTCAAGTCGCAGCATGTAAGTCTAGCGCTGAACGAAACGTGGAAGGAACGCGCACTTGCGCAATGCGACTGGAGAGCCAATCAGCGCGTACGAACGATATGCACGAGCCAATCAGCGCGACTTACGCGCAATAACGGTCACCGCTAGACTTTCGTGTCGCTTCTTATACATTGGAACGCTTAGTCCGTACAAGGCTTTATGTTACACTATTTTTCGTATTATACATAATATTCTAGAAAGCGATAGCACTCCATAGTGAGAATGTTTATAGCAAATATCTAGTCTTATTCGGAATTCGTTTAACTTATTTATAAATCCAATGTTCTGAAAAAAAAATTGTACTAAATTCATATTATATTTCTTTATTTTTTTTTTATATATGTTACAGTTAAAACTTCTTTTTATGACTACTTTAGACTGATGAAGACGGTAAAAAGTAGTTTTGACTAAAGAATGTTCCAGTATAGCCTGAAAAATTTCTGGTTAATATCAATTTTGTCTAAAAATATAATTTAAGAGCAGTTTTGTTTAAGACTGGTAGTTAAAATCACTCTAAACTGGTAGAATGAAATGGTTCGTTTTGAAAATGAAATTTCAAAACTAACCATTTGTTTACACCATTGTACAATATTGTACAAAATATTAAAAGCTGTAATGTGTAAATAATGTTTTTATAATATGTCTTCTAGTTGTAAGTTATGTGGTGTCCACTGATTTGTAACACCTTTTAAAACTTAGTGCCTACGGTATACTTTTTTTATAAAGGGTGCAAACAAGTATGCGGCTAACCTGATTGTAAGTGACTATCGCTGCCCATGAACAACTTTAACACCAGGGGAATTGCAGATGCGTTGCCAGCCTTTTAAAAAATAGTAGGCTCTTTTCTTGAAGGTCCCTAAGTCGTATCGGTCCGGTCAATCCCACAAGGAAGTTGTGCGAGGAAGAAAACTATGTACTAGTACTAAGTACCTTTGTTTATCCTATATATTATGATCAATCTATGAAATGAAATTTTCTTACTTTTTTCGAGGGCCATACCAGTACGTGTATGGTGCGGAATTCGAACCCAAGTTCTGCGGCGTTGAAACCAAACGCGTAAGCATACAAGAGTCGTTTCGTTAGTGAAAGTTACTTTTAACACTTTATGGGCTTCAAAGTAATGTTGGGGATATGTAATGGCTAAACGTAAAAGTGTGGTTAGAAATGTTAAATTTGTTCAAAAATACGAAAGCACGTTTCAGGGCCACCTCAAACCCGTGGACATTTTATTTTTATACGATAAAGGTGACAAACGAGCACACAGTCCACCTGCTGGTAAGTAGTTGCTGTGGCCCATAGACATCTACATAAATCCTCAACTATGAATCAAAATGCAGATGCGTTGACGGCACCAGTGAGGACTAAGATGTAATGCCTCGTTTCCAGTAAAAGGGGTCTCCGATTCTCTACACTCACGATACGAAAATCAACAGCGTTAAGCTGCAATTTTACGCTGGCTTACATTCACAAATTTATGAAATAAATAGCATACACCTTTTTTATATGTAGTCGACCTATGCTGCAGCTATATTAGAATGAATAGGTCGGCTCGACCGGGGAAGGACCACACTCTCACAGAGTACCAGCCTAAAATAACATGCTGTGTTTCGTATGGTAAGTGTAGAGAACTGGAAACCCCTTTTCCTGGAAACGAAGCATTCCAACTTTGTCTTTACGGGTGGTAACGGATATGGGTTTTGATTCTTAATCGAGGATAAATGATTTGAGAATTTGAGAGGATAAGTGTTTATTTTATGAAAGATACACCTTTATAGAAAGAAACACTCAAAATCTATATGCTCTGTACTTCGTTTTAGGTAGATAGTAAAATTATATACTATTTAAATTAAATTATCATCTTGCCCTTCATGGATATGATGTAAGACTTACTACGGCTTGCAGTGTGCGTACAATTACCCTAAGGAGTCTTCCAAAATTACTAAATCGTCTGTAGTTGGGTAGACTCGGTGGCTCTCTTCTTTGTAGCGTATTCACGCCTTTTGGTGATTTCTACTCACCCGTTTCTAAACTTTTTCTTTTTTTTTATAGGATAAGGGTGACAAACGAGCACACAGTCCACCTGATGGTAAGTGGTTGCTGCGGCCCATAGACATCTACATCTATCCTTTGTTACAAATCAAAATGTAGATGCGTTGTCACCCGTGAGGACTAAGATGGAATGCCTCATTTCCAGTAAAACGGGCCTCCGGCCACTTGCACTCACCAAGCGAAACGCAGAGGTAAACCTCTACTTCACGCTGGTTTTCTGTGAGGTCGTGGTACTACCCCGGTTCGAGCCGGCCCATTCGTGTGACAGCAAAAGCTGCCGCGTGGCTCTACCACTGTTAAAAACTTTCTTTTATGTCCACTTGCGTGGGCCATAAATTAGGACTTAGCCTGAGCAAATCAGGTCCTTTACTTAGACTGACGTTTAAATTATCAAAACTACCTAGTTTTGTAAATTGAACCTTATTGCATTATATAATTTAAAAGCATTAGCGATTGTGTTTTTCTATTTTTCCAGTAATAGGTAAAATATACTAGTATATTATATTAAATATGGGCCAAATCGAGAGTAACCTTAACCTACGAGCATATATGCATAGGTAAATGGATGTAAAGGAGGCGAGAGAGGTGTGTCAGGATCGTGCCAAATGGAAGTCCGTAGCGTCTGCCTACCCTTCTCAGTGACAGGCGTGAGCGTTTATGTAATTTATTCTCTAAGACGGATTACATGAACAGAATCATATTACTATACGTAAAAGTACCCTCACGATGGTCACGGGTTTCTTTACTTATATAAGTTGATAGATATAAGGTTCATTTTACGAAAGCAATGTAAGTTAGTTTCTATCATAACTCTCAAGCTTTTATACCAACTCTATCTCCCAACTAAAAAATATAAAATCGTTATATACAAACGTAAGTATTCATTTTTGTCATTAGTTTCTAGAAACCTGTACACACGAGACTTAATTACCTAAATAACTTATTTAAATATAAATTTAATATTTGTAGTTTCTATACAAAATGAGGTACAGACAATTCGATATTTGAATTTTTTTTTCGGTCCTTTGAAAAATAGTCGATAAATTGAATAAAGTCAATATTAATTGGTCACCTCGGTAATTTGAAGTTGGAGGATAGTATGTTGCCCGCCAACATTCAATAAATAATTTGAAGTGTGGGCT